CAGAGCCTGTGATGTCCCCAGGTGCATCCAGGMTACCTCAAGTAGGAGACTATGGCAGTAGCTGCTGAGGCCCAAAATGGAGGCAACTGAGGGAGCCTATGTTAGTAGATGGGGGTCCACAGGGAGTGGAGGCTTGAGTTACTGTATGTGTTTAGCAACTGAGTGTCCTTCACTGGGGGGGGGGGTGCATCTGGGGATTCTGTGCCATTTCTTATGCTGGTGGTCCTGCTGAGGTACTGGGGAGATCTGTGGGGATGAGTATTGAGTTGGGAGTCCTTTTCTAACACTGAGGCCCAAAGCCCTGTGCAGAATGGTGGCTGTGATTTCTATTTCCACTAGTTGAACCCAGGTTACGGAGTGACACAGAATGCTGCCTCCCTCTGGCCTGCCATCTTGGATCCCCTTCCTACTTTACTTTATGGGTCCTCCATTATTTCCCTAGCACCAAACCAAAGTCCAAAAAGACAGTTACAGATAAATATTTTTATGTGAAAATACATGGAAGAATCTTCAACAAGTTATTAAAAAATCAATCAAAAAATATATAAAAATAATTATACACTTTAAGAAATTGGTATTTCATCCAGATTATAAAGCTGGATGAGCATTCAAGAGTCAAACAATGTAATTCATCATATCAACAGTCTCAGGAAGAAAAATTTCATATAAGTGGATATATCAAAAGCATTTGAAAACATTCAGCATTGATTTGTGATAGAAATTCTAAATAAACTACAAATACAAGAGAACTGTCCTACCTTGATGGAGAATAGCTATGACTATAAAATAATCTACAGGTAACATCATAAATAATATAATAAAAAACTCAAAGCTTTTGGTATGAAATCAGGTATATGGCAAAGATGTTCCTTCTCACCAGTTCTTGTCAACACTGTATTGAATTTCTAGTTAATGCATTAAGATAAAATAAGAAAATTAAAGGTACACAGATTGGGAAGAAAAAAGTAAAATTTTCTTTGTTCAAATATCAGGATGTTATATGTAGAAAATCTTAAAGAATTAACAAAAATTCCATAACTAATAAGTAATTATAGTAAATTTATAATAAACAAAAGTTTATTGCTTTCATAGATACCAGAGATTTTAATAAGTAAAATTGAGATTGAAAAAAAATCCAATTTAAATTATCACTTCTTTTAAAATGAAATACCTAGCTACAAATCTATTAAAATGTGCATGAAATATATGTATGAAGAAAGCCAAAGAAAGCTAATGTATGAAATCAAAGAAGAATCAATGAAAGAGAACTATTTAATTTTTGTAGGAAGGAATTCAATGTTGTTGAGATGTCAGTTCTTCTCAACTTGATCTATAGAGTAAATGTAATCCCATTTAAAATTCTAGCCAGTAATTTTGTGGATATCAAAAAACTAACTCTACAGTTCAAATGAAGAAGCAAAAAACCCAGAAGAGACAATAAGATATTGAAGGAGAAGAACAAAGTTGGATTAAACCCAACTTCAAGACATATTATACAGCTATAGTAATGAAGACAATGTAGTACTGGTGAAAAAATAGGTTAATAGATCAATAAACAGAATAGAAAGCCTAGAAATAAACTCTCCTAAATATATTTGACTGATCTTTGAAAAGACACATAGACAATAGCCATACCATGGGACAAATTAATCTGTTCAACAAATGATGCTGGAAAACTGGACATCTACATGATTTTAAAAAAGAACAAAAGAGGGCTGGGGATGTGGCTCAAGCAGTAGTGCGCTCGCCTGGCATGYGTGYGGCCCRGGTTCCATCCTCAGCACCACATACAAACAAAGATGTTGTGTCCGCCGAAAACTAAAAAATAAATATTAAAAAATATTCTCTCTCTCTCTCTCTCTCTCTCTCTCTCTCTCTCTCTCTCTCTCTAAAAAAAAAGAACAAAAGAATGAAAAAATGAAAGAAAGAAGGAAAAGAAAATAGACATAGGCTTTGGATTCTTCAGAAAAGTGACTCAGAATGGATCATTGTTATGGTTTCCATGTGAGGTGTCGCCCAAAACTCACTTGTGGACAACACAAGAAGGTTCAGAGGAGAAATGATTGGATTCTGAGATTCCTAACYCAATCAGTGAATTAATCCCATGATAGGCATTAACTGAGTGGTAACTGAAGTGGTAGGGAATGGCAGGAGGAGGTGGGAATTAAGGCATGGTTTTGGTGTAAATATTTGTATTTGGCAAGTGGAGACTCACTCTTTTTTCTGATTACTGTGTGAGTTGCTTCCCTCTGCCACATTTTCTGCCATGATATCCTGCCTTATCTSGAAGCCCAAGGAATGGAGCAGCATTCTATAGACTAAGACCTCTGAAACCTTGAACATTCAAATAAACYTTTCCTCCTCTACAATTGTTATGGTCAGTTTCTTTATTCACAACAGTGAAAAAAAACTGACTAAAACATTCATATATCTAAATGTGAAAAGCAAAATTATGAAAACTCTAGAATACAACATATGAGAAATCCTACATGACATTAGGTATGGTGAAGACTTTTTAATATACAATATCAAAATCACAATTTATGAACTTTGTTAACATTAAAAAGTTCTGCTTTGCAAAACTTAATAACAAGAGAATGAGAAGACAAGTCATAGATTCTGAGACAATATGAAAAAAAATCTGATAGAACACTGCATTTAAAGAACTCTTAAAAAGGTCAACAATTGGGGGAAAAAATTAGTTAATATGTATGACCCCAAACCTACATACCTCCCCAAAGACATATATGTTGCAAATAACCATATAAATATATACTACATACCATATGTCATCAGAGAAATTCAAGTTAAAACTACTATGAGATACCATTAAACATCTATTACAATCATCAAAATTCACAACTCTGACCAAACCAGGCAGTAATATGGAGCAAGAGAAACTCTCATCCACTACTGATACAAAGCAAAATGATATGGCTATTTCAGAAGAAAGTGTGGTATTTTTTTTTATCAAACTGAACACACTCTTACCATACTCTATCAATCATGCTACTTGATATTTTCCCAAATTAGTTGAAAGCACATATACACACAAAAGRCTGCGCATGCCTACTGATATCAGCCATATTAGTAATTATCAATACTTTAAAGTAACCAAGATATCCTTTTGCAGTAAAATATGATGTATGCAAAAGGAATTCAGTAAACATAATCTTCCTAGCATATTGCTTTCATGGATTTCTTGTCTATGTATCACATAAATGTGATTCAGAAAGCATTTTGCTTCCACATCATACCTTTCACATGAACTGAACTCTTTTCAAACACAAAATAAGTCTAAATTCAAAGTAGYTAAGAAAACATACCCAAGCTAATTTTAATTTAATTAAATAATAACTTCTTATTGCTATAAAACATGTTTTAGAATAGATTCATTCTTGAGAAATAAATCATGAAGTATGTGAACACGATGTATAAATTAAAATATCTTCTAATTTTACCTTACTTACAGTACTCAATTCCTTGAAACTTGATACCTGAGACTTAATAAGTATTCAGTAAATGCAGAATACATTAAGAAAATGAGAAAAATGATTTAGTTTTGACTGGTGGATGACAAGAAAATCAATTTGCTCACAAGGTAACATTGATATGAAGTTTTTAAATTATTATAGTATACCAAAGCTTAGAAACACTTGTTTAATAAGTTTTATATTCTACAATATCAGGTTTTAAAAATATACCATTTTTRTATATAATTAATTAATTAATATAATTAACCATAAAAGATGGCATAATGTTATGGAAATTGCCTCTCTAACTTTATCCCTGAAACCCATGTCCACAGTTAATACCATGTGCAAAATACACTTCAAAATATGATATAGGAATCAGCAAATAGTTAGCAAAATCCATTGGTTCTATTGTCATTTTTCTATCTCCCAAACTGGTTTCTCCTCTCTATTACTCCCTAGGACCTATCTACATTTTTGGAGAAATCTTGTTTACTATATATCACACTTCCACTGCTCAACACAGCTAATTTGGATTATAAAATTGTGGTTTGTTTCCTTCAAACAAGCCTTCAGATATCACTGATATGTATAAACTGTGTTTTGCTGAGATGGTTCAAAAGAATGACCTTTTAAACATGGCACACTGGCACCCGCTTCTAATCCCAGTGACTCAAGAGGTTAAGGCAGGAGGCTTGTGAGTTCAAAGCCAGCCTCAGCAAATTGGCTAGACCCTGTCATTAAATTAAAAAAAAAAAAAAAAAAAGGCTGAGGATATGGCTCAGTGGCTAAGTACCCCTGGGTTCAATCCCTGGTAGAAAAAATAAGTAAAAAGAACTTCTGTTTTTAAATTCTTCTCTTTAATAATTTTTAATATGCATCATCTGTATGACAAATTTTTCAAGAAGTGAAATTTCATAAAATGGACAGTATTATTTTAGGTTTTTGTTTTTTCTGTGTGTGAGGGTCTGAGGATTGAACCCATGGCCTTAGTACATGCAAGTCAAGCACTCTCCTACTGAGCTATAACCCCAGTCCAAACTGGTTTTAATATTAAAACTAGGTTGGATGTTATAACTGATCCTTGATTAGTAAAACACACTGGGTTATCTTAGTAATACAATACTACCTTATATCATCTATTTATGCTGTGCTAGACATATGTTTACTTGTTGTTTAACTAATGCGTAAATCAGCTTTCAYTGATTAATAGAAATTAAACATTACATAGGTTCCAGAATATATCAGCAGTGATCTTATGAAATATATTAGATAGAAAAATTGTAATTGTTTTCAATATTTAAGGTATAACAATTCATCAAAAGTAGCTACCTTTTTTAACTATAAAATATCACATAAATGTTAATTAAAAATAATATTTATGAGAAAGTAATATTGCTTTTAAATTTATATTCCCACACTTTGATAAATTGATTAAATATATATTTATTATAAATTCCATCAACTGTAAATATATAGTGTATGTCACATTTAAGTAAGGTTTTTTTATTTAATCATGTGTCATACCTGAGTTAGTTCATTAATATCTACAAGTCCGTTACTGTCTGCATCAAAATATTTAAACATTTGATCCACCAACAGCTTCTTCCGAGATACGTCATCTCCGTTAGGATTTTCATTTTCTTGGGTAATATATTTTTGATTTTGTAAATCTAAAAGCATGCTTTTCATTGTGCTGTATTCGGTGCTCTTGCAGTTATCTCCTGTAACAAAAGAACTAAGTTACTTAAAAAGCAATATTATTGAAAAGAAATAATTTACTTTGTTAATATTTAGAAACTGATTAATACAGATAATGTATGAAGTACCTAATATTTGCTTTTCAGTTTTGCATAATTTACAACATGGACAAATAAAAAGGAATGGCTGTTTCCATGGTAGGACAGAACTACTTTGATTTCTGTTATACCTAATAATAACATGCTTATGAGGTTTCTCATTAATTGTTTGAAGGACATAGAAAAAAAAAAACATGATAGTTCCAATTGGCTCTACATTTTAAATCCATTTTCTCAGTTTTAATCCTCATCATACATCTCTATATGGATCATTTTACAGATGCAGAAATGAAGGTTAGGCTATACTTGATATTGCACTTAAACTCATTTATATATGACTTCAGATTATTATTATACTATCATATTATTTTTCTTCCAAAATTTTATGTATTGGTTTTCATTTCTGTCCTTTTCGAGTATATGGTGCATAACATTCTATGTATTTGCATGTCACATGAAGTTTTATGACCTTGAAAATCTTATTTCTCAACTGAAATATAAGCTATTGAAGTAACAGCACATTACAGATTTTCAGTATCTCCTGTGTAAAACCATCACAATACTGGTAGCATCATGGTTAATGAAAATAATTGTTTGGCTTAAAGTCTCTCAAAAGATAAAACAAAACAATGGAAAAACACAAATAAAACTGCTACAAATGTTCTAGCATCATCAGATAATTATTTTATAAAGGATTTTACTTATAATGGCCTCTAACAATGGTCTTTATAAATAGTGTATGGAAATCATAGTGCTGTTAGCAAGTATGATGTAAATTATATAATATAAAATATGGGACATAATATAATTTGCAAATGAAACAGGTATTATATTAGCTTAGAATTTTGAGCAACATACTCTTAGGATAAAAAARAACTAGCTTTATAATTATGGTTGATTTTGACAATTAGGGTTTGACAGCATCTACAATTTTAAAGAAGATTTCTAAAGATGCTTAAATATATGTCAGAGAAGCCTGGGGTTGAAAAACAGTATTCAAAGTTTCATTCTCTTTCAAGACAAGATGGAAAACAATCTATTCTAGAGAAATGAGAGACTATCTTCTTTTTCAGACAGTGAAATGACTACTGTTGTTCAGCAATTTTAGTGTTTAGCAATCCTGTCAAGAAGTTCCTTTTTACAACAAAGTGTAAACTTGGTGCTAAAGATTAAGTCAATTTTACATTATTTTGTTTTCACTGCAGAATAATAATAAGAATATGTTTTCATAATAGCAAAGAACTCACTGACAAAAGAGAGAAGTAATCAAATCCGGAGTCATAGCTAGCAATTTTGGTGTCTGGGGAAGGATCACAAATAGAGTCTTAAAATAAATGTGTTTGTGCTTATAAATATACGCACAAATGCATCGGGAAGGAGAGGGCTATATGGTGAAAGAAAGGGGGAAGGAATAGTAGACCATTCCAAAAGTCCTGTCTTGGATTTCTGTATGTAACTCTGGATCTATATCTCCTTGATTTCTCTTGCATTTCAGAGGGCAGAGGATGGTGGGATGAGGGGACTGGCTTGGGGCTACAGGAATTAGGGACACCAGAATATCTGTGGGAAGCAGATGTGAAACAGGATTTAAGCATTGAAGACATTTTAACTAATATTTAAGGTTGAAAGAGGGAATAGAATTTGGGTTGTCATATTATAATTTTGATGCAATCAAATGAATGGGATCATCATATTCACACTAATGTTTCTATTCTCCAAATTGTTGTGAATTTCTTTTAAATTCCAGGCATTGGGGTGGTACCTGGAAATCCAAAGGAAATAATAATACAAACTAGTGTTTACAACATTTATAGTCCATGGAAATATACAATAAACATTTATAAAATTATGCAAACCTTTGTAAAATATGTGAATTTAATATAAATTGCCACAAATTCCTTTTAATACTAAATAGGTGTATCTGTTATTAATAATAGGTCACATGTAATGAGGACTTTCTATGCACCAGAACTTTTATATATATATATATATATATATATATATATATATATATTAATTAAGTTTATATATAATAAGTGCACATACCTTTTATAGATGAAGAACAAAGACACAGAGTAATATATTCAAGGTTACAGAGTTGGAATGGGTCAGAATGATTAATTTTTAACATCACAAGGATTTATTCACAGGATTATGTATAAGCAGATGAAATGAAGATGAAATGAAATGAACAATGAAATGAAGAGGATCAAAGCAACTTTTACTCCAGGGCATCGGTCTAGGGGTATGAATCTCAGGGCAGAATGATTTTTAAGCACAAATCATCTTTTATACCCTCTAACTTTATTTACTCTGATCTTAAGAACTGAGTTTGACATGGCCATTCAATAGTGAAATATCAATTTTTATGTGGATTCAATGAATTTATTGAAGGATTATTTATAAAGTGATAGAATGAATATAATAATAAACTCCAGCAATATACCTGTTTATACTACAGGTAGATAACGTAGAATCCACAAAGAGTACAAAAAAAAGAGTAGATGAGAGGTACTAAGTAAATTATGAGGAAGTACTGAGGGGGAGTGAATTCAAGAAAACCTTTCAAGAAAGAGATTATAACTAATGTCTAGTGTTTCAGAGTGAAAATAGGGTAAAAAGTAAAGCATGTCCTTTGTATTCTTCATATTGGAGACTTTAATTGGAGTCTTTAATAGGTGACTTTAAAGATTTTAAGTGAATAAATTAAGCATATTTCACATTACAATGGGTTAAAGACTAAACACAAAGTGAGGAATTAAAAGATTAAGCATAACACTTTAAATAATTTAATAAGTGTTTAATCACATAAACACTTAAACAATGATTGATGGGAAAGCAAAAGAACTAGTGCAGTTAACCAGGAAGAATAGATATTTCAACATTAAGGCTTCTATCCTGAATAACTCCAATCAGTTAGGTAAGCAGATTTTGTTTATTTGGTTGAGTTGGCAGCATGCTTTTTCCAAAACCTAATCAACTACTCTTGTTGGATTGGCAAGGTTGGGGGAAAAAACATGTTTTCCTGGATTCATTTCCTTACTGGAGACCAGTAAGAAATTCTCTCTGCTATTCCTGTCCTTGACGTGGAGAATATTCTGGTAAACAAGACAAAGTTCCTTTTTTTTTTTTTTTTTTTTTTTTTTTTAGATCTGTACATCTTCTTACTTCCTGTGGATGCAGTGACACTGGGAATGTGCTCATTCGTGACTGAGAGTCATTCGAAGGGCAGTTAGAATTCATTTGGCTTTGCAGAGCCTGGAAGGATGTAGAATCACTGACACACAAATGGCTGCACCTGTGTTGCTGGCAGTGCCTCTCCAAGTCTCTACAGAACTGTGGATAATTACATTTTACATATCTGATAGTGCAACCATCAGTTCTGAGTACATGATAAGTGCTAAAAATTATAGATTATATCAATTATGCTTAGTATAATAGGTTTTTGCAAAGGCTGTGATTTGTTCATATCTCTTTGAAATTAAGTTTTATCCTTCCCGTCCATCCTCCAGTAAAAAGTACCAATTCCTTTTAAAACAAAATATTTAATSAAAAGCATTAATATAATTTTCTCTTTTAAACATTTATTGTCATACTTTGATTGCAATATAAGCTGAAATCTAAGAAAACCAAAAAAAATAAAAGTGAAATGCTTTTAATTTGGGTGTCAATTTTATTCATATATCAATATTGGGGCATTCTGCTGTCATGTATAACAAATTAGAATAAATTTTTAAAAAGTATATTGGAGCTATTTTTCTTCAAACTAATTAACAATTGCTAACAGAACACATTAAAATGTTTTAGATAAATATTTTATGTTTGTAGCAAWTTTATATTTGTGGTATATATAGAATATATCACCATTTTAGTTGATTGATTTAATATTCATATATGAATAAGATTCAATATGGAAAATTATAATGTTTATTTAAATATAATTAATAAATTATGCACATAAAGGAAACAAAATTATCTTGACTGAAAATAAGCTGAACAGAATTAAAAACAGAACTTTACCAGCCACTCATATTTTTACTGTGTCCATAATTTTGCCTTATCCAGAAGGTCATATAGCTAGAATTAGGCAGTATGTAGCTACTTTAGATTGACTTTTTTTTTTACTTAACAATATGCATTTAAGTCTCCATTATGGTTTCAGAGCTTGATAATTGATTTATTTTTAGTGCTAAATAATATTCCATTCYATGGATATACTACAGTTAATCCATTCACAYATTGAAGGGCACTTTGGTTGTTTCCAAGGTTTGGTGAATATCAATAAAGCTTCTATAAATATCTGTTTGCAGGTTTTTGTGTATGGACATAAGTTTTTAACTCACTTGGTAAATTCTAAGAAGCATGATTGCTGGAACAAAGGTAACACAATGTTTATTTGTGTAAAAAACTGCCAAACTGTCTTCCAAATGGGCTATGTCACTTCACATTTCCACCACCAATGAATGACAGTTCGTATTGTTCAACATCCTTGCAAGGATAATATTGTCAATGTTTTATATTTTTATCATTTTTGTAGATGTGTAGTAGTCTGGCATTGTTTTAGAGTTAAATTTAAATTTCATAAATAATCATATATTTTACAAAAGACTTTGGTTTTTTTTACTCTTCTCTCATTTTCTATTTAGAAAAAAATTGATTGTTTTGGAAAACTAAATTTAATACCACATTAAGCATTGTGAAATTGTTAAAGAAAAGTRACTAAAAATGCAATTAATTACACTGGCATGTTTACTGATAAATTTTGAAATTTAATCTTCTTGGAAGTAAGAGGGGAGTGTTATGAGTTGAAAATCCATTCTGCAGACATTTTGGTACTTAGGATATAAATTGACAATTACAAACCACACTGCCACTGACAACTGTCTTCAAATCTATCCAAGCAATAACAAAAAAAAAAAAAAAAA